GCCTCCCAAGTAGCTGGGACCACAGGCGCCCGCCACAACGCCCAGCTATTTTTTGGTTGCAGCTGTCATTGATGTTTGGCGGGTCCGGGCTGGGGATTCGAACCCACTGCCTTAGGTGTACGTGGCTGGCGCCTTAGCCGGTTGAGCTATAGGCGCCGAGCCTAATCTGCCTTTTCTAAGCTGAGTTTTCAGCTAACCTTCAGAGAGCAAAGGGGAACTTTTTCCTGTGACCTCGATGCTGTACTACTTATGTCACAGCCACCAAGGGAGACAGACAGACAGACAGACAGACATCTTTTTTTAAGGTAAGACTATGAAGGCTCAGAGAAGTTATGTAACTTACTCAAGGGCATATTGCCAACACCTGGCAGAGCCAGGATTTGAAGCCAGAACCCAAGCTCTTCCCATTACACTACCCTGCTTCTCTGCACTCTCCTCCCAGAGCTGTCTGAATAAAGCTCAGAGCTGTTGTGGAGACTCTTGCCTAATACCCCCCTTCTCCTTTGAGGCTGTCCACTTCACAGAGAACTAGCTGTCGCCATTGACAAATCTTCCATGTTGAGTCAGATCTGTCCCCTTGCAGTACCATCCACAAGTCTTCAATCCCGTCCAGGCTAACTGAATCCTTCTTTCATGAGCAGGCTATCTAATATTTGCAAATATGTAATCAAAGAGTAGCAGAATATGTTACCCCCCAAATATGCCTCTTTGGTATATGTATTACTTTGAGCTAAAGGCCACTGAAAACCAGCAAACACAGGAAAAGCTCTAAAAACAGGCCACCAGTTTTTCTTTTTAAATTTTTTTTCTGTTCTTTAGTAAAGGAAATTTCCATTTATAAGAGAGACTGAAAAGTCTTTTTCCTTTGACACTTCTCTACAGATTTCCTGTTCTTTGCTGAAGATGCTGTTTAAACTATAATCCAAAGCCACCTTTTGAGAATTACTCATTCCCTGAGTATCTTCCAGGTACATACGAGACATACACATTCATAAACGTCGGTTTGTCTTTCTCTTGTTCATCTGTCTTTTGTTATAGGGTCTGTTCCAGCTAAGGACTTAAGAGGTTTGAAGAAAAAATCGTTTTTTCTCCCTTACACCCCAACCACCTACACTTGCTGTCTTCCTTGTTCATCTTCATGCAAAACACTCTTAGACTAAGCCTAAAAAAAGGACTCTCATCTCATTCCTTGTATTTTTGTACAACCCAAGGCTACCTCATTCCTTGTATTTTTTATACAGCTCTGCGTCCAGTATGGAGAAGTACAGTGTTACTCTAGACCAGTAGCTGCCCCCCACCTGTATTACCCGACTGATAAACTTCACACCATTGGTAATTTTGTTGCATCTAAAGCACACCAGCAGTGGAGGGAAGGGACAGAAGTGATTTCTAGTATTAACTGCAGCTCTGTCCACGGGATTAAACCAGTAGTAGAAATTGTCCAGTCCTATGTTCACTATTTAGAAAACGGGAAAGGGTGGAGCCACCAAATTGTGGCCCTAAGAAGGCCGCTGAGAGAAGGGCTGGGGAGTGGTGGGACCCGTTCAGTACTCTGCAGACCATGCCACGAGTGCCTTCAGGGAACGCTTCAAGTTGGGATGCCAAGTCTCTAGGACTGCAGTCGCTGAGATACCATTTAGGGCCACACACCCCAGTGTTCAACATTCCTTTTTAGGTACCCCTGCTTGGCGAGGGCCGGCTCCTGAAGCTCTCGGGTTTATTTCTGTAAAATGTGTGTGTGAGACAGAGGAGCGTTTCCAGAACGCGCTGGCAGCAGGCATCGCGGGGTGTACACGCGGAGCGCAGCCCTGTCCTTGAGCCTTTAGGCTGAGACCGAGAGGGCAAAGGAAGCAGAAAGATGGGATTTGTTCCAATCGTGGGAAGGGGGCGCACGACACCGCGGACCGAACCAGGCGGGCATCCGCACGCTTTGTGGGTGCTCGAGGGACGCTCCTCGCGGCCTCGCCTTTTAGAGCGCCGGGAGCTGCCGCCCCACTTCGCGGGGACGCCGGCCCCACGCACCGCCTGCCACGCAGGTCGGGGACTGACCCCCCGCGCTGTCTCCACGGCTCTCCGCGGGGCGGGACTCCGGAGGGGCGGTCCCCGCGCGCGTCCTCCCCTTCCCTCTCCCCGCCTCCCGCCCTGTCTGCGCCCCGCCCTGCGGCCCGGGAGGCCGGGCTCCGGAGAGGGGGCGGTGGCCGCGGCGGTGACGGGTCGGGAGCACCGGCGCGGCCCGCCACGTCCCGCCCCCCGGTGGCGCCCTGCGGCAACCTGGCGCCGGGGGCTCCGGCTCCTCCGGCGGGGTTCGGCATGAGGCTGGCGCGGCTGCTGCGCGGGGCCGGCTCGGGCCCGGGGCCGTTCGCCTCCGGCCCCCGCTCCGGCCGCAGCCTCAGCTCGGACTCGGGCTCCGGCCCGGCGCCCGCCAGCGGCGTTCCGGGCCAGGTGGACTTCTACGCGCGCTTCTCGCCGTCCCCGCTCTCCATGAAGCAGTTCCTGGACTTCGGTGAGTGCGGCTGGCGCCTCGGGCCTTGGTGCGCCGCGCCGGGCGGGGAGCCGCGGCCGCCCAGCAGGCCTGCGGGCGCGGGCTCCTCCGGGTCCAGGCGCACCCCGTCTCCTTCAGGTTTCCGTCCCCTGCGCCTCAGGGACTTCCTTCCTCCCAGGTGGGGCCGGCGCTTACCTCCGGGTAAGCAACTGCGGCGTGTGGCTTTTTACGGCGTATTGTTTGGAAACCCGCCGGCAGGGCCGCGGCAGCGAGCGCTCCAGCCTGTCCGCGCACGTGTGCAGGTGCGCGGTCGCCGCCAGGCCCCTTCCGAGCGGAGCACCTGAGCCCGGTGAGGGGCCGCAGCGTGACACCTCCCCTCCGGGAATCGCGTTTGGAGCCTGCACAGACTGATAAAATAAATGCCCGATTTTGCATATAATCATTGTATAGAATTGGCGTGATGACGAGGAAAGCAGGTTATAACTAGCCCAATATTTCTTAGAATGTTTTCCTTGGCTGTGGCTTAAGAGGTGTTTCCGCCAACAGCACATTCATTTCGTCAGCTGCAAAAGCGTCTGCAGCACGTGTAGACTGCGTGATTACGAGATGCTGTGGTGTTTACCACGTTTTACCCCGTTTCTCTCTAGAAAGCGCCCAACGGATTGCAGAAGGAACTGCAAAGTTAAGCGTTAAACCGTGACTTCCCAAATAGGGGCAATTGAGGGCAAGAGGGAAAACTCTGAAAAAACTTCAATGAAGTCATAACGTTTGAGTAGAAAAAGTGATCTTGTGCATTGTGAGAGCGATTAGGTTGCTAACATCACGAGTGGGCTTAAAGATACCTGCGTGGTTGGCAACTTTATCTGTAGCTTGCCCTAGCAAAATTTTTGGCTCAAAGCCTTCAGGGTTTTGTTTTGTTTTTGTTTCCGTTTTTTTTTTTTTCCACTTTAAAATGACTGTAGTATGATGAAGGTTAATTTGGCCTTGTAGGCCATGAAACTTTCACCGAAAGATATTTCTTTTTAATGTTATAATTTCTGCTATTGACGATCTTGTTTTTTGCTAAGGTTATCTTTGCTACAGTAGCAAGATTATTATTGAGCAGGGCATGATGATCACACCTGTAATCTTAGCACACTCTGGGAGGCTGAGGCTGGAGGACTGCTTGAGGCCAGAATTTTAAGACCAGCCTGAGCAGATCTCTTCTCTACTAAAAGTAGAAAAATTAGGTCGTGATGGGCATGGTAGTAGTCCCCACTACTCCAGAAGCTAAGGCAGGAGGATCACTTGAGCCCAGGAGTGTGAGGTTGTTGTGATGAGCCACTGCATTCTACCTTGGGCAACAGAGCGAAAAATAAAAATGCATTATTAAAATAAGACTTTTGGCTCAGCACCTGTAGCTCAAGTGGTTAAGGTGCCAGCCACATACACCAGAGCTGGCGGGTTCAAATCCAGCCTGGGCCTGCCAAGCAACAATGACAACTACAACTAAAAAATAGCTGGGTGTTGCAACCGCACAAATGATCATGAGAGACATGGATTGGCAGTACATGCTGCAAGAGGTGAGGCTAACCAAAGGTGCAGGATAGCACTGAGCAGTGGCGGGCACCTGTAGTCCCAGCTACTTGGGAGTTGGAGGCAGGAGAATTGCTTAAGCCCAGGAGTTGGAGGTTGTCGTGAGCTGTAATGCCACGGCACTCTACCCAGGGTGACAGCTTGACGCTCTGTCTCAAAAATAAATAAATGTAATAATAAGACTTTTAATTTTAACTTCAAGTGGAACTGCTTGCAAAAGGCCATTCCACAACTCTTCTGTTTAGCATCCTGATATTGAAGCGGAGAAAGAGGCAGTTGACTTTCCAGGAATCAAAGAATTGGATAGAACCTACCTGAAGATGGTGGCTAAGCAGGTGTTGGTGGCTCTTGGTTTCTGTGTCTGACATCCCTACTCAGCGCTTCTTTGCTTATGGTAATTAGTGTTCCATGTAGAGTCAGTGGATCTTCCCATGTGCACATCAAAATTTTCCTGTTTCTCTTTTTAATTTTTTTTTTTTGGCCAGGGCCAGTTTTGAACTCACCACCTCCGGCATATGGGGCCAGCGCCCTACTCCTTGAGCCACAGGCGCCGCCCTTTCAAATTTGTTTTCAAGGCTAAGTGAAGGAGTGGGAGGGGAGAAGAACCAAAGAAATTTGTAACTGGATCAAACACCACTGCACTCATTGGACCCACCTAAAATTTTCCTGTTTCTTAGGTATTCACTCTTTTTAAACCTGAAGTTTGGGAAACAGATTCTAAATGATAGCAGCAACAAGGTATATAACAGCATAGATTTTTCCAGGTTCTACTGTTAAGTAGACTCTGAGCATTGCTCAGACATATGTAGGTACCTTTGTTCAAAGATGGGCAGTCACTGCACGGATGCAGGTAAGGGAGACCGGAAAGTATCTTAATTGTACACAGTCATTGCAATGTTAGGAGTTGGAAGATCGTTCTGGATTTTTATAACTTGAGGTGGGGTTATCTCATCCTTGCCTCCCTCTGGCATGGGTATCTTTGCCTTCTATTCCCCGCCCTTTCAGGGTGATTGTACCACTCTGGCCTTGCCAGATAACTCCCTATTTCTCCTTATCCCGGGACTTCTCTTGTGTCCTTATGGCTTCTACGTACTGCTTTACTTCTCACGTTTGGTTTCAGGATCGGTGAACGCTTGCGAAAAGACCTCATTTATGTTTCTGCGGCAAGAGTTGCCTGTTAGATTGGCAAATATAATGAAAGAAATAAGTCTCCTCCCAGACAATCTTCTCAGGACGCCTTCCGTTCAATTGGTACAAAGCTGGTAAGATGCCCATCTTTTGTTTGCAATTTCAGTGAATTTGTGGACTTTACTCAAGGTTACAGCAAATGCCTTTTTACTCTTCAGTGGAATCTTAAGGTAGCAGCAGTATTCCTCCTTATTTTTTTCCTTTTTTCCTTTGTTGGTGTGTCTGAGCTTGTGCTCTGGATCCTTGACCAGATCTGCCGCTCCTTGATTTTGAGAAAACCAATCAGAACTCCAGAACTGCACTAAAATACTAAATTTTAGTACATTCTAAGATTTGTATTATTAAATCTGCAGGGATCTTATAAGAAAAATACCATTTGCTGATTGCTAGGTATTTGTATCCCTTACAATTAATTCTTCAACAACCCTGTGTAGTAGGTATTATTATCTCCATTTTACAGATAAGGAAACTGGGGCACACAAAGGTTAAGTCCTTTGCCCAAGGTGATAACCACTGAGAGTGGGGCTGGGGTTCAGACCCAGATTTGTCTATCTGAACTCCACCATGCTGTAGTCAGAATGATAAAATGCATTAAAGGGGATAGCTGTACAGTATTTAATTAACTGAATTTATTGAAGTATATCTTTTTATAAATCATAGAAGTTAAAACTTGTACTCTGTTTAAAAACAATGACAAGTTATTGGAATTGTATAGAAACTGATCTGTTCTCCAAAATGAGCATACATGGTGTACACTCATCTGTACAAGGCTTTGTTGTTTAACGTTGTTAATTTAAAAGTGTTATTCTCTTAAGTACTGTACATTTCAAACAGAAGTTGCCCAGAGTTAAGTCTTAAATGGAAAAAATTCAGCTGTGAGACGCTTCCCGATTGTGACCTATGGTGATCCTAGTTTTCCTTTTGTAGGTATTATAGCTGTGGGAGAAACAGATCTAACCTCAGATGACTTCTATATAATAATAGCTGTCAGATGCTAACTAGTCCAAGTATGTGATAGTTAGGTTTTTTTGTTTTTGAGACAGAGCCTCAAGCTATCCCCCTGGGTAGAGTGCCATGGCATCACAGCTCACAGCAACCTCCAACTCCTGGGCTCAAGCAAGTCTCCTG